ATGTCACTTTCTCCTGTTTTGGCCGCTACATCTCTAGCCTTTCCTTCTCGGTATTCTTCCTTGGTTCCTCCTCTTCTATCCCTTCAAATGCTGCCATTTCTACGAACATTGCCTTTAGCTCTCTGCCCTTCTCACTACCATGTGATTAACAGCTTGGGCGCAGGAGTCTAACTTGGCTCAAACCTTGGCTTTGCTACTTGGTAATGCTGTAATAGTAATGCCTACCACACTGGGTTGTTTGGAAGATTAAACAAGAATCTCTCTCTACTATGCTCCAGATCAATCTAGAAGTGGCAAGAAACCGAAACACACTGAAGCTGGAACAAATACAGGTGAGTGTGGCAGAGACTGCCGATGGCCTTTAATATTCACTATTCCCTTCTTCCACAGAAATAAGACATTAAGTTTTTTTGACTGATCACAAGGCTGACTTCCTTACTGAAAGATACAGGTGACCAAGTTCTGACCAATGGGTGTAAATGGAACTATGTGCTGCTTCCAGAAACTATCCTTTAGGAACATGATGCCCCGTTTTCTTGCTCCTTCCTCCTTTCTACTAGCTGGGATTCAGACAAGATAGCTGAAGCTTGGGCAGCCATCCTGGACACCATAGCTGGAAACCACATGCTATAACATCAGGAGAGAAGAAACCTGGGTCTCTGCCCATTTCAAGGTGCTGCTCTACCCAATGTAGATTGCTTTCTTCTTGACTTTTATGTGGGAGGAATAAATTTCTTTCTTTTTCAATGCATTATTATTTTGGGCTTTCTGTCCCTCACACACCAGCCAATCCCAACTACTATATGAGGGTTATTGAGTGGAAGAGGTACAAGGACACATGCTGGAAACTAAATATGGCTACACAGAAACTGGATATGGAACTACACAACCATCAACAGTCTCTCCTGACCCAGGAGGTCTTTTGTCTCTGAGCTTCCCTGTCAGTTTACTCTTCTTGCTCCTCTACAGAGATGAACTTCATCTGCTTGCTCATCAGCAAGACTGAAAACAGCTATTCAAGTCCGTAGCCTATGTAACTTTTTAGATTAAGCCATTTCTATCTTAGTATCTCTTAGTTCAAATTTTTGAGAGAGACAATTGGTTGTGCCCCCTTCTCCAAAGTTACCTGTATTTTCCCCATTCAGTCAGTTGTACATGGAATGGGTTGGAAGTAGGGGTACAAATATGGCCCCTGAGGGTCTACTCTTCAAACAAGATTTGCCAGAGAGATGCAAGTTCCAGAAAAGAAGTTATAAGCGAGGAGGGCAATATGAGTCTACTGTTTAAGACCAATAATGCGTGTCCAGTTGGCTAGTGAACAACTCAGCTTGAATAATCTATTCATCTTTCCCTCCTCCTAATGTATTTTGTAGTTAAAGTCACTATCAACATAGTTTTCCAAGCCAGAAACCTAGGAGTCATCTTTGATCCTCCTTCCTATTCCTACTCTGGTATGCAACCAGTTACTGAATTTGCAGTAGTTATTTTATCATTTTCTAATTCATCCTCTCCATGTCTAGGGTTACCACCTTAGTTTAGGCTTGACTCACTATTTGCTCAGTTTAGTGTAACAACATCCTTAACTGATGTTCCTGCTGCCAGGCTGGCCCCCATCCAATCTGTCCTCAGCAAAACTCCAGGCTGATCTTCCCAAATGCAAATTACTTGCTGCTTAACCACCTCCTTACTTTCAGGTAGAGTTGAAACCCCTTAGCTTGGGACCAGAGATTCTTCACAATCTGGTTCCTGCCAGTCTCTCTAGCCTTGCCTTCTGCTACTCTTTGACATTAGCCATTCATGTCAGTATATTTATTGGTCCCCATCATGCTGCTTATATTTCCACAATTTTTGACATTCAGGTCACTCTGCCTGGAATGGTGCTATGAGATCCCCAAACATTTTCCCAGTGGATGTATTGAGACCTGATGATTAATTTTTAAATTCTAGTAAACCAGATCTTGAGATTATATAATTGAATTATAAATGCTCTGACATTTAAACTGTACCTAAAATTGCCACACAACAAAGTAAATGAGAATACTGTTCTTGGCCAGGCGCGGTGGCTCCTGCCTGTAATCTCAGCACTTTGGGAGGCTGAGACAGGCGGATCACCTGTGTTAGGAGTTCGAGACAAGCCTGTCCAACACGGTGAAACCTCATCTCTACTAAAAATACAAAAATTAGCTGGGCGTGGTGGCATGTGCCTATAATCCCAGCAACTTGAGAGGCTGGGGCAGGAGAACTGCTGGTACCGGGGAAGCAGAAGCTACAGTGAGCCGACATCTTGCCCCTGTAATCCAGCCTGGGTGACACAGCAAGAATCTCTCAACAACAGCAACAAAAGAATACTATTCTGTCCAAAGTAGATACTAAGTAAATGCTCATTAAATCTCTTAAAAATCCACTCTCTCGGAAAAAGTGCATCCTGAAGTGGTTTTAGGCCTCCAAAAACTTCTAGATGTAAAGAACAAGGTGGTAAAGCTGTCAAAGCAAACTGAGACAGAGACAAAGAATTTTAAACGAGAAGAGGGCAAGAAGAATGCATGCAATCTACTCGGTTTTTCTCCTAGTAGGTACTCTCCAACTGCATTGCAGGGGTCAGGACCCTATCTTATGCTATAGCACATCTGCCTCTGAGCAAAGGATGAGCTTTGGATTCCAAGGTCTTTGAGTGACACTGGGGAACAAAGCATATAGCACAGCCACAAAAACAGAAATATCCAGTCAGGTGACTTTTCACTCTAATCATTTTTTCTTCTATTTTCCATTCCTTTCACACAAATATAATTTAAAACTCACAGACATCTTAAATACAATACATATTATGTACAGTTTTTCAATTCTCAAAATTAGTACACTTTTTTCAAAAGTTGAAAAGTGTAGCAATGTGAAAAATGTTTAAAATATAAAATTAAGTGAAAAAGAAAGGTAAAATACATAACTATGTAAAAGTGTACACATCTGAGCAAGACTGACACAGAACAAAAAAATAAATTGTTGATATGTTAGGACAGAGTTTCTCAACCTTGGCACTATTGACATTCTGAGCTGTTATGGAGGCAGCTCTGTGCATAATAGGATGTGGAGCAGCATACCTGGTCTCTACCAACTAGAGGCCAGTAGAACATCCCCAGTTGTGGCAACTAAAAATGTTTTCATACATTGCCAAATGTCTCAAAGGGGGCAAAACACCCCTTCCCCAGGTTTAAAACTGTGTTAGAATGACAGGATTCTTTTTTTTTTTTTAAAGACAGGATCTCACTCTGTTGCCCAGGTTGGAGTACAGTGGTGCTATCATAGCTCACTACAGCCTTGACCTCCCAGGCTCAAGTGATCCTCCTACCTCAGCCTCCAGAGTAGCCAGGACTACAGGAGTACTCCACCATGCCTGGCTTATTTTTTGCATTTTTTGTAGAGACAGGTTTTTGCCACGTTTGCCCAGGTTAAACATTTTTTAAATTTGTGACTTAGCCGGGCGCGGTGGCTCAAGCCTGTAATCCCAGCACTTTGGGAGGCCGAGGCGGGTGGATCATGAGGTCAAGAGATCAAGAACATCCTGGTCAACATGGTGAAACCCCGTCTCTACTAAAAATACAAAAAATGAGCTGGGCATGGTGGTGCGTGCCTGTAATCCCAGCTACTCAGGAGGCTGAGGCAGGAGAATTGCCTGAACCCAGGAGGCGGAGGTTGCGGTGAGCCGAGATCGCGCCATTGCACTCCAGCCTGGGTAACAAGAGTGAAACTCCATCTCAAAAAAACAAAAAAAAACAAAAAAATTTGTGACTTGCCATAATAATGTTTATTCAATAAATATATATTAGAAGAGGAAAGGAAAGCCCCTTACAATATAGCATCTAACATTCTCTTTTATCAAGAGTTAGAGTTTATCCAGTTCCAATTTAATGTCCAAGATTGAAAAGGCTGCAGAACCTGTTTTTGTTTTCCTATCTATTCTAGAAGAGAAAGCTGAATTTCTCAGTATTTAAAAACTTGACCTGGCTCACATCACAAACAACTGCTTCGGTTGGCCTGAGAAGTCAAAATATCCAAATCATTATGGCCCCAAATAGCTGTTTAAAATGTCTATGTTCTCCATATCCTCAAAATAGGTTTACTTTTAAAACTGAATACTGAAGAAGAAATAGTAAGATTCAACAAGGAACGCATATTGTAAGACAAATTAAGTCAAGCTGTCCAAGTTAAAATAAAATTGCACTGGATCTAAATTAATCTTATGCCATATTTACGGCCCTCTGTTCCAGCCTTTTTAGAACTATTGTGTCTGCTCCCTTGCCAAAAATATTTATTTTCAATCACTCCGTATTGTTTTTGTTTCTTGGCTTACATCACAAAGAATGTTTTCTGATTCAGAAACTGACAGGAAAAAGAAGGCACAAGTACTATTTCAATTATCTCCTCTCCAGAAAATTATATTATATCCCCAATGTTGGGTTCATATGGGCTTAAAGGTGAAATCCTGTCTTACATGATCATTTTGAATGCGCTTTTCACATTGATAAACACATCAACAAAACTTAATTAAACAAGGAACAACCTTAGTTCGTTATATAAGCCTGAAATAGGTCCAACGCTGCAATTTTGATTTTTTTTTCCATTTTCAAAACGCACTCGGCTTGCCGTATTTAATGTTTATATTTACCAATGTGCACTTCTCCTAGTCTCTACCCAAGACTGAAAGTTTGCCATAGTGCAAAGAAAGACAGAAAATCTTCCCAATGACTGCAGAGCTGGAGAATGCGAAATACTTAGGAACACAAAGCATTGCGGCAGGAAAGCAGAAGGAGGTGGTCTGTAGATGACAGGGGTGGTGGAGACGAATGGACATTCAATAATGTGCAGCGTGAACAGGGAAAGGTTAAAATGGCTGTGAAATAAGCAGGATGAGAAAACTGGTGCTTGGAATGATGAGAGAAGTGGAAAAGGTTGTAGCTTGAAAGGCAGAAGGTAACTGACTTCATAACCTCTGATGTTGAGGATACAAAAGGCCTCCAAATCTTCATCGGGATTCAATGTTCTGCATGATGAACATCGGCCAAAAAATCAGAAACAGCAGTTCTTTATTCGCGGGCCTAACGTAGGGGAAACTGCGCCTCTGTGGACTTTGTAGTGGCCTGGACCTTCTGGCGCCGTCAGGGGCGCGTCTCGAGACCTCACCTTTAAGCGAGAAAAGGAACGCCGACCTACCTCGCTGAGGGTGTTCTAAGCCCGCTCTAATAAACAGCGGCAGCCTAATACTAAATGCTTGTGGCAGCTGGTTCCGGGGAAACGGGCGAATCCTACCTCAGGCGGAATCACTCAAACCCGGGACTAGACATGCCGGGCCAGTAGGGGATCCCCTTCTGTAGTTTCGGGCCATACTGGGGAGAGAAAAGGAAAAGGCCCAGAATGCGGAAAAGAGGGGAGGATGGGTGCTTTCCTCCGCAGGAACCTCAGGAACCAAGTCGGAAATTTTCCTGCGGAGGGTGCCGCGAGGGTCCCGGGGTCGCTTGGTCCCTAGGCGCTCAGCGACAAGGCGCAGTTGCTGGCGGAGACCCGGACGTCATGGCAACCACGCTAGCCGCAGAGACGCAAAGGCGTCCTTCCGGCGGGAACCATAGAGACGACGCACGCCACTAGCGCCAGAGACTGTGCTTCTTGAGGAGACTGTTGTTACGGCTCACACCATTGGCATTCGGGCCAGGGGCGGAGTTGTCCCGGCCGTATCGATAGTACGACTCATTCCATTGGCTTTGGAGACAGCTGTAACCATGGTAACGTCATGTCACGCGTTTGCGATTTAGCAAATGCATTTTGTCTTGGGGCATTCTAGTTCTGGAAGAGCTTCCCGCCAGGCCTCAGCTAGAGCCCCAGCCTAGTAACCTTGGATTTTTTTTTTTCCTGTAAATGCCTTCATTCTTAAAGGGGCAGGGAGTGCTAGGTCAAGAGTTCTGAATTTTAGGCCTAGAGCGTGTCACTAGCCATGTGGGGCATGCAAGATAAATCACAAGTTTTGGACCCAGCTTATTATTGTTAAAAGGAAGAAACTGGGCTTGACTAGAATTATCCCTAAGGCTGAAGCCCTTCAGAAGTCCTACCACTGAAAATTGAACCTTATCTCCCCCACTTATGTAATGCAAAATAAAAACTTAGGACACAAAATTTAACATACTCAATTTACATCATCTTTTTAGATACTCTTATTGAAATTCTTATCAAAGCTCAATTTTACTTATGTTTTGGAGGCCCTTGCTTTGCTAGTATTCCAAACACACTTCTTGGTCTTATTCTAGTTCCCCAAGAGGATACTTTTCCAAATCTGTGCTGGTTCTACATGCATTATTTGGACATATCTTACTCTTTACATAAGTGTCTCAACCTCTCCTTCTGGCACTGGACCTCTTGCAAGTGTTTTTTCTGAACTAAAATTGCTCACCATCACCACCTGTAGCTCACTTAACTCCTGTTTATCAGTTTAAGTATCACCTACTTAGGGAAACATTCCTTGATCCTCCATCCAAAATCAGGTTCCTACTTACCCTCATTGACTCATGTTCCTTTTCTCTATACACTTCCATTTGCTGTTAAAACACATACACTCTCATACACTCTCACTCTCTGCCCTCCACTACCCTGGAATTTTTACTTGTGTAAATAATCTTTTTAAGTACTCTGAATATAAATTAAACTGAAGCAGAAAACACTAAATAATTTCATGTAGAACACTGGTTGTTTTTAAGCGTTAACAAGAGAAGATGTAAAATGGTTCCCAAAGGAAGTAATAATTATGGTAAAAACAAACAGGATCACTTCTACTTTTAGCCCCACATATCCCCATTGTACATCCAAAGATGATGAGTCATCATCCACATGAAGCTCTAAATGCAGAGAACATATTCTACTTCTTGCCCTTCAGTACCGCAGCCACTGCTGACAGAGCCTGTTGCTTTTGGGGTTTTGCAAATTGGTCCTGAAGTTCATTTAAAATCTTTGTCAAAGAATCCTGGGTATGATAGTTAAGACCTTGTATCTGTGAAAAATAAAATATTTAGCCAGGCATGATGGCAGACACCTGCAGTCTCAGCTACTCAGAAGGCTGTGGCAGGAGTGCTCGAGCCCAGGAGTTCAAGGTTACAGTGAACTATGATTGGGCCACTGCACTCCAACGTGGTGACAAAGCAAGACCTTGTCTCTAAGGGGAAAAAAAAGTATTTTTCCAAAGGGACTGCTGCAGTTATTTCTCCTCTGCTCCAGGTCACGCTTCCTGATTAATGAAGTATTTCAGTCTATCTTAGAATTTCTTATCAAATCTTCTCAATTAAATTTATTGTACTTCTATTATCAGAGAGACACATGGGCGATCCTTCCCTACTCCATGAAACACCATGAATTGTACTTTAAGTCAAATATTTATGTGAAACACAGTACCTGCTTCTACCTTACTCATTAATGCTAATTTTTCAAATTGCACCCTGGACTATCCTAGAGATCATTTAGGGAATTTTTTTGCACTACACTACTTGTGCACTCCCAACCCAAAATCCAGGACAGCAAGAGAAGTACTGAAAGTTTTTCAAAGAGTCTCAAGGATTCAAAGATTAGGTAGGCTACTGGTGTAACACTGCTTTGTTAAGTGAGAAAAACACTAACTGCAACCATTTAGTCCGTGTGAAGCAAGTGCTAGGCACCCAGACTGATGCTTTCTGTTCACGATTTCATTTAATTCTCACAATAAATGGCATTACTTTGCAGAGATTATCCCCATTTTATGCATGTGGACACTGAGATTAAGTCAAATGCCTAAGTTTATAAAACGAATAGGTGGCACAGCTGGCTAAGTTGACTCCTAGCCCACACTGTAATGCCTCCCTCAGGACAGAGGTCACCAAGTGACCCCTGCCTGGTAACAGGTAGAAGGCCATGTTAAGTTAAGCTGAAGAGTAGTCCTAAAATACTTGAAATGTAAACTGTTACCCAAATGTGAGGTAAATCTAGAATAAGAAGCAAAAAGCTCACCATTGTCTATCTTCAGGGAGGTATCTTCTCCTACTCCTATGCTTCATCAATTTCCAAAAAAACAACATCCTTTCCATTGAGTCAGCTTTTGGACACTTTATTGCACTTAATTTTTTATACATCCATTTCCCAAACAAGACATGTTTATTCATCTTTTTAATCCTCATGGCTCAGCACAGGGCCTGACACACAGTAGGCACTCAACAAATATTTTATCTCCAAAGCATGGCCATTCATGCATCCATAATCCTCTTTTTACAGTATAAAGACAGACGATATTCAGGCCCCCATGTATATTTTAAGGAATATGTAATTCCCAATAAGCTCTTCTTTTTAAAGGTGAGAAACAGTTCTAGTGTTCAATTTCAAAATCAAGATGACAGTCAGGTGAGTGTATCAGGTGTCCTCATTAAAAGACAAATACCAAACCTTATTTGCCTGCACACCACTGCCTTTTCCCTTTTCATTTTATCTATCCATATGAAAGCAAAGGTTTTATCATAGTTTTCACCATCTGTAAGAGCCCTGAACAATTTTTGATCCCGTAAGGGCTTTTTACTTCAGTTTTTGTCACCTATAAAAGCTGTATGTCGAGACTGAAGATTATCGACTATCTTCTCTTCTATCTCTATGCCTTTTTCTATTTCTTCCTCTGATAGCAGTAACTTGGTTTCCGAATCTTTGGTTACAATAAACACAAAGGACTGTCGTGACTCAAGGATATTAGCCACAACCACTTGATGCTGATAAATTTCCAAAGCCTTCCGAGCTCGATTAATTACAATGGAGGGGTCAGTCTCCAACTTAAAGGAAATTATAAACGCTTTGGGAGCCCAATCTTTAACCAAAGGAGAAAGCATTTTTGGCACCATCTTCATTGTTATCTGTATTGGAAAAAGAAAAGCTTAATAAGCAAACAATGGTCATTACCTACCAGGTCAATCTCATGGGAAACTATGGAAACGAAGGAATCAAATTTAAGTGGGATTTCTCAATTGTCAAACTTTTCAATTAAATGCTGTTTTAAAAGCCTGTGGGGGAGGGGGCACAGTGGCTTGGCCTGTAATCCCAGCACTTTGGAAGGCCAAGGTGGGTGGATCTCTTGAGCCCAGTTCAAGGCCAGCCTGGGGAACATGGCAAAACCGTGTCTCTACAAAAAATTAAAAAAACTAGCCAAGCATGGTGGCACCCACCTGTAGTCCCAGCTACTAAGGAGGCTGAGATGGGAGAATCACTTGAGCCTGGGAGGCTGAGGCTGCAGTGAGCTGTGATTGTGCCACTGCACTTCAGCCTGGGCAACAGAGTGACACTTTGTCTCAAACAAACAAACAAAAAAATCCTTGGCTCTGTAGAGTTCACAGTGATGCCTAAATTCAAGGCTCTATACATATTCTGGAGCAAACCACATCTTCTGAATAAGCCCTGCTCTGCTCTGCTACCCTTATCACCATTAGTATTTTCGCAAGCATGCCCCTTTATTTTTGAACCAAACCCTCAAATAAACAAATAATCTGTTCATACAAATGTTACTTTGGCAGAAACCAATAAAAATTGGTTTGTTTTTTTGAGACCAAGTTTCACTCTTGTTGCCCAGGCTGGAGTGCAATGGTGCAATCTTGTGTCACTACAACCTCCACCTCCCGGGTTCAAGCAATTCTCCAACCTCAGCCTCCTGGGTAGCTGGGATTACAGGTATGTGCCACCACACCTGGCTGATTTTGTATTTTTAGTAGAGCCAGGGTTTCTCCATGTTGGTCAGGCTGGTCCCGAAGTCCCAACTTCAGGTGACCTGCCTACCTCAGCCTCCCAAAGTGCTGGGATAACAGGTGTGAGTCACAGCGCCCAGCCTACAGTTGGGTTTTTAAACCTCTCAGCCTAAAATATTTCTTGCACTGGCAGAATGGCTATTAGATTCCATTTTTAAATTGTCACTTGTAACACAATTTAGCAGTGAGGAAACCGATTTTATTTTCACTTGACCAAAACTCCTACTACCTCATCCCCAGTCCCTTCTCAGGGTAATGTTGAGTTGTTTTGTTACTTTCAAGGCAGAACTGCTACTTGGGAGGCTGAGCCAAGAGAATCACTTGAACCCGGGAGGTGGAGGTTGAAGTGTGCTGAGATTACGCCACTGAACTCTAGCCCAGGTGACAGAGGGAGACTCTGTCTCAAAAAAAAAAAAAAAAGATAGAACTAAAAAATATGAGATAAACTAAAGATCCCAGAGATTAAAAAGTGTGAAATCACTAAGTTAATCATCAGGATTTCCCCTAAAGAAAAGCTGTTAGTAAATGTGACAGGGATCATATACCACTTTATTTTTCTCTATAGCATTTATCACTACCAAACGAGGTATGTATTTGACTTACTTATTGTCTCCTCTGCAAAGGAAGCAACACAAGGGCAGGGTATGTTTCTTTTCACTGCTTTCATCTCCAAGTCCTACAGTAGTGTAGGACCCCAATAAATTATTCTACAAAGTCGGCAAATGCCCCACAGGTAGAGTTTCTCCTAATACAATCCTACCTGTATCACCCAATAAACGACTAAGAACTCCCGAAGGTTCCAAGAAACCAGATCATCTAAAATCACAACCACATCTACGTTCTCCATATTTCTTCCTTAAACTACAATAGCCCCCAACTAATCTACCCACTCT